GTCTGCGCCCGCTGCACGAAGCCGCAACCCGCGCGCGCCCTCTCGTCTTTGAAGCATGGAGTCTGGGTCCTTGGCGCCGTCGTCGGTCCTTGGCGTTCCAACAAGCTTCGCTCTGCGCCTCAATCAGCCTGCTGTCGTCGTCGTACATGCTGCTCTTCTTCGAGTGCGGCTACCTGCCACCACTGACTTCGTCGTCCCCCGACCGCACGCTTGCGTTGAATTGCTCGCTGCGCACGTCGACGCTTAGTGTCGCGTCGAGCGCCCTTCACCGCCGTCCTGACTTTCGCAGCACTACCCAGATCCGTTAACAGCTCGTCCGTCAGCTCAAGCCCGAGCTGCACGGCCGTCATCGATTCAGCATTTGTTGTCGTTGCCGCCACGCCTACCTCAGGCACGCCCGCGCCGTTGTCTGTTCTCACCGTCGCCACGCCTTCCTCAGACGCGACTGTATCGTCCTTCTTCGCCTCGCCGCCTTCCTCAGTTGAAAGCCGCCGCCCAGTCTGCGCGGCTCCAACTCTCACCGCTGTACTAGCGCATGCGTATCGAAGTGCGGCCATGGCGGGCCGTACCGTGTATACGTAGCACCGTGCACGCCACTCGTCACGCTCCCTAGCTTCTTCGAGTAGTCGTAAGCGCAACACTGTTTCCTCGTCCAGAACACCGTCTTTCCGTGCTTCGTTCTCGTTGCCAAGTCTTTCTCATCGTTCTCGATCAACGTCCGGTGTCGTCTCTTTATCGTGTTTCGCGCCAGAGTCGTCTGTCTCCATCTTTAGCGTGGAGCCGATCGTTCCCGACTCGTTCACCGCACCGTTACAGTCCCTCGTTTCATCCGTCCTGAAGGTTGTGCTCACTGCATCTCCCGCCATCATTCGTGACACTCGACACTGCACTGCACCTCCAGTTTCGACGTTACTCTCGTTTGTGCATTGGGAATATGTCTTCCACCTCGGACACAGTAATTCTCCTACTGCGTCCGCTCTCCGTTTTCCGCCGTCTTCGCCTTTGACTCACGTCTCGTGAGATACGCGTCATTCCGAGCCTTGGTAGCCGAATCAGTGCACTTCTTGGCGAAGTGGCCAGCCTGGCCGCATGCATAGCACCTGTTCACCTCGCACGGTCGCTTGTCCACTCTTCCGTCCGTATTCCCCGTTCGAACTTCCACTGGTTTCGCCTGCCGGATGGGCGCCTCCTTCCGTCTGCGTTTTGGTGGCGGGAGAGGTTCCGCACCTGCTTCCGATTCGTCGCTGGACTCGGGTGGCGGTCGCACCACCATTGTCTTAGCTTTCCGATCTCCTCTACCAGCCGGTAGATTGCGTTCTTGTTATCGCCTGCTGTCGTCGTTCTTTTCGTGTGGGCTTCCAGTAACGCCCACTCCATGTGCGACCGTCTGGAACGTCCGACGTGCCCGTGTACTTGTTCCATACGCCCTGTGGATTTGTGAAGTAGGCTAAGTCTTCGCCGTCCTGCTTCATCATCAAGTTGCCGTCGTCCCCGGCGCTGGCTCCACCACCGTTACCCGGAATCACCAGTACTTGTCCGGTTGTGCCGTCCATGGGGACCAGATAGGGGTTCGGAGCAGTCGCCCACGGCTACCCGATGTTATGCATACCCTCTGCCACGTTGTTGATCGGGTCATCGATCTCCGTCGCCTTGTCCACGTCTTCTTCAAGTGTTTTTGGCTTCGGCCGCTGCTTTACCAGCTGCCTCGTAGTCTTATCTAGGCTGCGGTAAAACTGTGCCAACAAGACCCGTTCGCTAATTCTGGTTTGTGCAGTGAGGTCCCTTAGGCCAGCCGCGAAGTCGGCGTAGGTATCTTTAGGCATCATCTTTCCTCGACTCACTCGCCATTCTGCTGCAGACTTGTCAGGTCGCTCGCCGTACCGACGCTGTAACGACGCCTTCAACTTCGTCCATGTGCGCTCAGCCACCGGCAACTCCTTGCCCCTGTATGACCACCATGCAATAGCTCCTTGAACCCAGCTACGGGGCTAAGGTCGCCCAGTACTGATTACGCTCAAGACTCGCAGGCAGACGGTCGATAACTTATCGCCCGCGCCGGTAGTGTGCCTATAAGACAACACGACCTATTTATTAATTTGCGTTTCTGTTTCGTTCCTATTTCGTTCGTTAACGAACGAGCTTCTCACGCCCACGTCCTCCTGCACGCCGCTGCCACAACGACCCCACCAGAGTCTAGTCCGTCGCTAACTTAGCCACTCGGACCTTACGCCGCAGGCGCACGTCCTGCTTCAACGCAGCCCTTCAGTCAGCGCACACAACCACTGTCGTGCTGTGCCCAGACTCACTTCGCCGTTGCAGCCACCACGCACACTCTGTCCGTGACCACCGTCCACTCGTCCGCGCGTTCACCAGCCTAGATGCGTCCACCGATGCTGTCGTTCGTTCTGTGTCGAGGATCGCCGTCCACGCTGCAGGCGTCTTCAGGCGACCTCAGTCCTTTGTTCGTTGTCGGGCCCCAAGCAATGGGCCCGTCAACAGTCGTTCGTTCTTCTGTGTCGAGGCTCGCTGTCCACGCTACAGGTGTCTTCAAGCGACCTCAGGCCTTTGTTCGTTGTCGTGACCCGAGCAGCGGGTCCGTCAATAGTCGTTCGTTCTTCTGTGTCGAGGCTCGCTGTCTACGCTACAGGAGTCTTCAAGCGACCTCAGGCCTTTGTTCGTTGTCGTGACCCAAGCAGCGGGTCCGTCAACAGTAGTTCGTTCGTTTTGTGTCCCCGCCTGCTGTGGCGAGTGCACTAGTTCGTAAGCACGGGTGTTCGCTTCAGTTGCGTCTTGCGCCGCCGATTCGAAAGTGAGAGCCCTTAGGGTCTGTGTGGATCTGCGAAGCCTTGTGGCTGCAGGTGTCAGCTGCAGCCACGACGCACGCCATCGACTGCTCGCCGGGCTCCACTCTGCTGTCTTTCGTCTCCTTGGCCGCTATTGGCCAACGTATTCGTCCATCTCCGCAGGTCCAGGTTGCCAGACGTGCTGCAACCACGTCAGCTCCAGTTCCCGTCCTCGCGTTGTTCTTTCTGTTGTTGACCACTTCGTACTGGCCGTCGTCGTTGCCGTGTACAGTGCGTCTCAACCTATTACAAAACGTTAATAAACTTGGAGCCTAAATGACGTTTAACCATCTTGGAATCATCGTTAAGCTATCAAATAAAAAACACTACCGTCAGCAACAACAACAACAACAGCAAGGCGTCTTGCGACACATTATCCAAATACTTTGATCATAACTGGCACAGAATCGAGTGTCTAATGACTCATGGTGGCTCACTGGTAAACTAAATTTCACTCGGGTTTATGAAATTGAAAAGTTGATTTAGGAACATAGGTCAGGTTTTTGGAATAATTATCGTAGCGGAGGCGGAAAGGCATAATAAAGTAGGACTAAACCTAAACTAATGCCGCGTAGCGGCTGCGCCCGGCTATTTTTTTATAAATAGAGCAGCATGCTAAGTGAAAAGGACAAAAGCATTGAAATGCACAATACATGTCTCGCTAAACAGGAGGAGCAGACCAAAACACTAATAACGTGACTGTACACACGTTAGTGTATGAGTAATCCCACGATGGGGGGGGCAGCGGCACTAAAATAGTGGCGGATTGCAAGCACCATCTGTATGGTAGTGTATCGCTTTAGAAACGAACCCATGCAAGATGTGAAGGAACTTCACACCAACTCAAACGATAAAAACACTACGTTCGCTGAGATAGCTCAGTGTCATACAATCGCAACTACACTAGTAATGGCACTTAGATCCCTATATGTGTAGCTGTGACTTAGAACGGAAAGAACGTAGCTATCTTCAACCGCTGAAGATCCGCATTTGCGAATTAAATGTAAATGTATTGTATGGAAGCATTGTCCACGTGTGGCCGCACTGGTTTTAAAGGTTCAACTGTCGGTGCAATTCGGTTCGAATAGCTTCATAGGAAAAAAACTGGATGAATCTGCTCTTGGCTGCATCACGGCCGTCGTTGCAGCCGACAATGCCTACAAAATGAGGGACGGAGTGGAGGTTGTGGTCAACATGGTCCGACTTTCTTTGTCGTCAATGACTTAATTAAGTAGATCTTACTGCAGATCCAATCATACGCTAAAATAACCCCACCGAGACGTATCAAGACTACAATTTGCCCTATGAACTGCAAACCAAACGAGCGACAAAGGGGACGACCACGACCTGGATAATACTAAACAAAAATGCAAACGATAATATGGTTTTGAATTAAGTAAGTGAGGCGATCGATGTGTTGGACGGAATATTGGAGCTATTATAGCACTTCCTCGGTCGAGGCTGCAGCCTCATCAGCCTTGCGGTCGTAGCGTAGTAGTTGCGTTTAATGACTTACTTACAAATCAAAGAAAACCACGGTGAATCTTCAAGCGAGCTGTTTATAGGAACAGAAGTAAACTTGTTTATCGAGGAGAGCAGGTCGACAAGGCGCACTTTTGACGTACCGGATGCAGTTGTTGTGAGCGTTGATCTGATTGAGACGGAAGCAACCGTCCAGTCCGTCAAGTTCCTGAATTTGGCAGGTCGTCAAAGAAAGAATCTTAAGTTGAAATTCTACTGCACAGATGACATACCTGGTTGTCATTGATCCAGAGCACCTCGAGGTTGACGAAAGCATCGAAGTTCGCAATTTAGTCGATGCGCTTATTGGCCATGTACAGCTCGGTGCAGCTTTTCACATATTTGTGATTCTTGATGGGCAGCTCCGCATGGGGATCCGAAAGCCGCCAATTTCGTGTCATGATAGAGTTCGAAGAGCGATCAAACTAAGGTTGTAGATTAAAAAAATGACGTTGACGAGCAGATTTGACAGTTTTATTTTAATTAGAACCCCGTTATCTTTACCGACACTTCTGCTCTAATTAGCTGGCACGTCGTGGAGATCATAGGTTTTACAGCCAGGCTTGAACTTAGCCACGACTGTCTCGGACAGGAGAAACGCCTTTGGTCGGTCCAGTACATTCACAAACGAGCTCAACGACCCGACCAAGCGCCACGGAGAAGCTACTCGTCCAGTCGCGGGTCCAGCACCTCCAAAGGCGTACAGATAGACAGCTCCAAAGGCGTACAGATAGACAGCTTGAGACACTCTTCAAGCTGCTGTGGGCCCACATCCACACGGAACAAGTCCGCCGGAAGCGCCAACGCGCGAGCCACATCGGCACCAGGGCCACGTGAGTCATCAAACAGCAGGCGAGACCACAGCAAATCACGATCGTAGTGTTGATCAGCAACGCGGAACAACTCTCGCGTGAAGAGCTGAGCTTCCTGCAGAGCCCGCTCCACCGGTAGCACACCATTGCCCACGCCTAGTTCCGAAGGGGTACTCTTAAGTAGCAGAAGCTGTACAGCGTCCTTGTCCAGAGGCTTGCGTGTCAGCGGCTGTGTTGTGAGGACCAGCGAGTATCCGCCCAACGGCTCCACCTTACGTGTCGACGGAGCTATCGTGGACGGAGGTCGATGGAAGAAGCTTCCTGATGACGAGTGCCACACGACTGCATCCGGTGTACCAAACTGCAGTAAGTCTAACACTTCGTAGCGTGAGCCATGACATGCGATGTATCGGAGTAAGATCTGCACCATGATCAGCTCCGAGCAGCTGGACTGCAGCGACACAGGCTGCAGCTTCACTGTCACCATGCGGATTGCTGGAAGTAGCGGATGGTGAACAGGAGCTGTAGTTACTGCCAACCCTGTCAACGAAGATGAAGACGACGACGACCCGAACTCGGAGAGATGAGTACCTCTCGATCCGCTTCGTACAGGGCGATTCGCTGTGTTGCTGTCCTTGACAGCATGCAACTCGGCGCCACGGACCTTCATGTCGGCCTCGAGACGGGCCACGTACTCAGGCGTGATGACCAGAGTGTTGCGGGCCTCGTCCAGTGTATTCTTGCAGTCCTTGGTGCTAGCTTAAACAGTCGGAATCACGCTTCTCCGTAAGAGCAGCGCGCTTGAACAGAAGCATGGGCTGCGACTTGTCTGGCGGGCAAGCTGGTCGCTAAAGACGTCTGTGCGCTTCTTGCCGCCCTGGGGAAGATACCGTACGAGTGCACGATAACGTCGTTGGCAATGTCCTATACTGACGGATCTGGAAGATGCGGCCTCACACGTATTCGGACTCTTCTCGGCCTGTTCGCGCAAAAAACTAAATGTGGGAACAAACAAGAGCTGCAATTTGCAGTGCAAGTGCATGTATGGATGTAAAGATAAAAATGATCGGCAGATGTTACGTAGAGAGCAATAGAGTATGATCGGCTCACAGTGATCGGAGCGGAGCCTGTTCTTTTGAAACATAAGGCCAATCCTTCACCTGCGTCTACGCTTGTTTTGAGCCCTTGCCTCACGTGCTCTACGCGTGGGAGTCCTAGACCGATGGGATCTACGCAGAGTATTAGTGACTAGAGTCTCTAAACGCGGTAAATGAAGGAAAGACCTTTCTCGTTGGTTGGCCGCAGCAACAGCTACACCCACGACGTGACTTACCGGACCAGCACTCGCATTGCGCGGCGCATCGGCTCTGGTATCAGTGATGTTTTGGCTATCTGCCAACGTCGCTGGACCATACACCGGGAAACCTGCTTCCGGACCCGCTGCGACACCAGCTGCATCGTCACCATCCCTAGCCGATCTCCGCACAGATCTTTGCTGGTGAACTGGACGCTCATATCTCTGTGACTGCATGGGAATTCCAGGGCAAGGGAGCCCATCAAACTGAGTCGCTTTCATTACATGAAAGCAAACCCCAGCTTTGTTCCAGCAGAGACACATGCATGTGCGACCTGTTGCATCTACGATCCATCCACCGGTCGGCATGTTCTACCACATGATCCTTGCGTAGTTTTTAGATTCGTACGTGCACGCTGACTTAGGTAGTACAGAGTCCTCAAATGTACTGTCCTGGGAAGAACCAGCGGACTTCGGAGCCACACGCACGAGCACCGAACCTTGTACACGGTGTACCACTTCTGCATCCCACACCTTTTTTGTCGGTCCTTCGATACGCAGCAAGCAATCTTTTCGACACAATTGCTCTATCGACAAAAGTCATCTTTGATTATACATGCGCAATACGTGATAAATCCAAGCGAACAACGAGTTCGGCAGGATTTGCACGCTGACTGTCATTTACAAGTTTTAAAGTTTTGTGATATTGCTCCAACGGGTTGTTGGTCGTAGTATACCCTGTAGGTGTGTGGTAAACTTGCCAACGCGAAAAGCGAACCCCCGTAATCCATTGAGAAATAATGTGGTTTGAAACACGCCGAAAACGAGGACTTAGCTCACCAGCGCCGCACCATGAACTCAGAACAAATTCTCGCTTTCGAAGATACTGTTGTTCATCGCGTGAAAGGTGCAAATCCTATAGATTCCTGAAAATCATCTTTACCGAAATCAAATCCAGTTTTGCATCATGTGCATGTTGGAACCAACACATCCAAATGGTGGTTCCAGGTAACTCTGCGGTGCAGGCGTTTTGTTGGGCCTTGTCTGCGTCTATCATGACAAAGTCAGGCGAGAATGGCACCCCAAATTCCTTCAACATGACTCTTTTTAAACAGGAAAGGTACCAAACAATATCCTCTTTGCGCCTTTGAGATGTGCACCAGTACACAATTGGCAAGAAGGCTCCACTGATCTGAAAAGCCCAATACAGAAACAGGGTACTTCTGCTTCACACAGTTGTGTGTTGTGTCCATGTGCAGTAGCGTAGTTAGAGACGGGTCCTGCTACACTTCAACATAACGCTCTAAAAGCCGCTTGCACGTCAAACCAATGCGAAACGGGTTGCCTTGAGACCCCGTGCTAAGAGCAGGCTCCACAACGCCGTCCACAACTTTTGTGTCGCACAATATTAGCAATGCATCTGGGTCTGTTTGCCAAGAATGTGAACGTTCGCTGCCGTACATTCGCTGACGGCAAATCTCCAGCACGGGGTCCATACTATCCGGTCGGTTTTTACGCCGCCATCCTTTCTGATAGTTTTGGACCTGTGCAAGCTGCGGGGTAGGTCCGCCGATATGCCCATCCTTAATCTCACGACACAAGAATGCGTACAGTGCCTGCACTACCATAGACGGAGAGTCGCTTAGCTTGACATCTAGATAAGACTTCATCTCGGCGGTCAGCTTAGATGCAATGGGGGATGGTGGAGCATCGTATGATCCCCTTGCTCACATATAATTTTTCCGTCACTTTCTTGACACTCCAAAAACTTATAGCGACAAGTGCATGTTTGTGTTGTAGCTTTGCAGCGCTGTGATTTGCATTTAGTTACGATATACCGCATTTCATGCCATGTTACAGCCAGCTCATCTTCGTAGCGCTCAACGTGATCAATTGTACAGTGGTGTAGCTCACTTGTAGGCCGTGAAAAGCTCGGCAATCCTGCCAGAAAGTCATCAAAAGGGACAGGATCACCAGATTTCCACACTTCATGCCACGGAAGACGTCCTGTACGGCCACCGTGATCGTTCTCCATTGTATCGATGCTCCACTCACAATGCTGTTAATTTATAAATTTCTTAGATGTTGGGAAGCTAAACTCTTAACTATTTTAATAGTAGTGGCTAACAATATCTATTTGTGGACAGAAAAGATCTTTGCGAAACGACACTTATTTTTGATGTGGTGACTTGACTGGACGGCTGGATCGCACCTCCCGTCAACGGGATGGCATGCGAGACGACAACGACCACCTCCTTGGGGAGATGGCGCTCGCCGGATCCGAGATCCACCATCAGCTCCAATCCCGGATCCATGACCTCGAGCGGGATCTAGATGATTCCCAAACTGCTAGTGCGACCGCGTACGAGAGCTTGGATCGGCTCCGCGACGGGTTGCGCCTGACTCAAGAAGAGGTGGTGACCAACGACTATGTGGGATCCACCCATGGCGGATCCGCATTGGGGTCAGCGCGTGGAGGGTCCCCCGCGCCGAATCCACCTCCCTCGTCGCCGGATGTGGCTCTGGCCCGTCTCTCTGAGGAGCTGAAAGATACCAAGGAGTCACTCGAGAAAGCGTCTGCCGGGCGGGATTACGCGCTCGAAGAATTCGTACGCGTGACTCAATTGCGCGACGAGATCCAGGCAAAGCTGGCGGACACCGAATTTCAGCGTGACAAGGCGGCTACTGAGTGGGCGGATGCCAAGCGAACGCAAATGTGGTGAAGTGCTTTCTCAGAAATAAGAGAATGGGCCTGACGCGGGGTCACTATCCCGAATCAGTGACAATTTCAAGTGATTAGAGAGGATTTGGGTTGGTGGCACGGATGCAAGTTGCCTGTGGTGGATTAGCCATGACGAGCAGCACCCCGTATGAAGTGACGATGGATCTGGTTTGAGCGATGTACGAGAAGGCAAGATCCACCAAGACTTACCTCGGATCCACCCTTACCTGGATTCACTTAAATGGATATGGGATATACTATACAAGAGTGGATCGGGTGTGTATCTTATAAAGGAAGAATGGTCGGCGCCCTCTGAAGATGGATCTAGTAGCCACGGCTAACAAGAAGTCAAGATCCACCGCGAGGTACCCCGGATCCCATACTTCCGAGTTCGGATCCATGGAGGGAGGGTCCCGCCTTGAGGGACCTGGATTCAGGGTATAGGGATGATGGATGCAGTGGATCTCGAACTTTCGTGGGACAATGGAGATCACAGACGGTTGCGAGATGATGTTGGATGATTGGAGAGCTCAGATCCACGACGAGTGTACACTTGCAGTGAGGTGGATCCAAACGACCTGGATCCGGATGAGTGTACCCATAAAAGGGTGACCATGATGATTACGTCATAGATCCGGTGGATCTGAAGAGAACACAGCTGGGATGATGGGTCAAGGGAAGAAGGGACATGCAGCCGAGCCTGGTAAGGGATTTAGCAGATGAAAGACATAGAAGGTAGAAATCCAGGCAGGTATAGGCTTAAATATCAATACAGACCTCAATTTGCACATTAACACGCAAGTGCCTTCCTGCCCTCAAGAACCGGAACTACATTGGCCGTACGAGCTAGGAGAAGGTTGGGAATTGCGAATCTAGTGTTGGTAGTGATAACTGGATAATACATTGGCTAGATCCTACAACCTAGTGAGCTTTTCCTTTACTTGTGCAGATCCGACAGGCTAACCGAATTTACTACTTGGTCGGTTACACCCTAGAGGTTCTCAACTCTCAAGACCCCGTCACAGGAGGCGGCAAGTACGACGCAAAGGAACTACAAAGGCAAGCGAGCACACCCGCAAGGCAACCCTACGGCCAGATCCACGATCTAGGCCCCGGATCCATAAGCTCGAATATTCGCTTAGGATACGGAACCATCCACGGACGCAAAGTGAAGATTTTCCACTGCTGCTCCACCCCATCCCCACGTCTCGCCAAGACACTCAAACTTCACCACTTGAACTCTTCGGAAGCTACCGAGAGAGCAAGATCCCGCCCTACCGACGGGTACACAAGGTGAGGAAAGTTCAGCAGAACACGGATCATCGGGGGACCCCCTCCGTTAGTCGGTGTCTGGGCGCAGTTGGTAAGCTGGATCCGGCAATCTCGCAGATTTTGCTGATCCCGCTACACCACAATGGTGCGCGTGCCCGGATCTTTTGGTGACTCGGGATTTCACCGTGAGTCCCAAGAAGATGCTCAAGTGAAGATTGAGCCAGGGGAAGAGGCGTCGTCGGAGGTCGGATCGACGAAGACGCTGCTGAATGAAACAAGATCCGGGGATCGATGGAGTTTTGGGAGGAACTCTGTCGACGGAAGAGAGGTGGATCCGGATTCGGATCTAGAAGAGAAACCTCTCTATCCTCCCCAGGTCCCCTCGGGGACCCCCGCGGATCTTGACGCAAGTCAAGATCCGCTAACAAAACAAGGAAAAGTGAAGGCGAAACGGTATGCATTTGCAGATTCACCGGTTAAGCCAACACTGTACCTAAACCCAACCCCGCTAGTCGAGGAAACGAGAAAGAAGACGAAAACGAGTAAGACTACGCGGAAGAAGATGCAAGCTCCAGAGTCGGAAGAAGACCAAGCTGGATCCAGGTCAAGCTGGTCAGACAAGGATCTCGAGTTTGTGTATCGCCACCAAGCTTTACGCGACTTCCTGCATCAAGATCCTGTCATGCAGATCCTGAATCCACGTCAGATCGAAGATCCAAGGGAACCGGTGAGAGCACCAACGAAAACGGCGAACAAGTTGGTGGCAGTCAAGGATCTATTACGTTTGCTTACGGAGTCAGGCATCGTAGCTGGTGTGTTCGACGCAGAGGATATCTTCGAGCTAGACCTGGATCTCATAGTATCCGCGACGCGGGACCTCTTTGCCAGAGTTAGGTCCGTCACCGGAGAAAGGTCGCGCACTATGGATCCCAGTGTCGTCGCCGAGAGTCAGCCAAGCTGCGTCCTCGAACTACGAATCCGCCGCTGAGGATGCGTCAGACACGTCGTCCGAACCACGACGCATGACTTTAGGACCCTCCGGGGCATCCATGCTGGAAGCGCGGGCGAGGAGCCGAGGACAGGAAGTCCCTGAGAGCGCGAAGGCTCGGGATCCAGTAGGCCCTACGCGTGATCTGACACAATCCAGCCACGATCGAGCCAGATCCGGCAAGAAGCCAGTGGGATTATCGTCAGATCGGGCTCAAGGTAATCGCCTCACGGATCCGG